ATAAAGGAATATTGCTTTTAATTACTAGGGTCAATTGTTTGTAAATTTAGCCATGAATAACTTCTCTTCCCCTCTCTGTGTTCGCCACATCTCCCCTCAAGGGCTAGACTTGCAATTTGCCTTGACCAATGGAATGCAGGGGAAGTGGTGTTTGTGACTCTCAGAACCAGGCTTTACTTTAAAGGTGTTACAGCTTCCATGACTGCCCTCTTGCAGGCTGGCAAGTATGTCATAGAATCTTTGTAGTTTGTTTGTGAGCCCTCTTAAAGGGGAAAAAGGTCAGATCAGGAGCTGTAGATGTGAGGATATTAAGTAGTCATTCAGACCAGTTAATATCCTCACATCTACAGCTCCTGATCTGACCCTTTTATATAGGGAATGGGAGAGCACCAAAGACAAACTGCCCCTACTGGGCCTGGTTGTTTTTGCTGAGACGGAACCAAGGAATGAAGTAGAAGGACTTCCAGGTGGTGGTTTCGACTGGCTTTGGAAACTTGTTGACCTGCCCTGGGTGTGGCACTTGGTAGAGCCAGAGCTGTTAGTGTTGGCTGATATAAGGACTTATCCATTAGTCAGAATGATAACCGTAATTGTGTTAGATGATTGCTGGCCCTTGGATCGCTAGAGCAGGGCACTTTTCCTAAACATTGGCCCTGGGAATTGGCTTCTAAACACATTGCAAAGCCCTATTGCAAAAGCTACCCTAAACACTGTTATGAGTTGAATTGTGTCTCCCCCAAATTAGTATGTTGAAATTCTAACCCTTAGTACCTCAAAATGTGACCTTATTTGGAAATAGTGTCGTTCCAGATATAATTAGTTAAAATGAGGTCATACTGGAGGAGGGTGGGCCCTATTTCAATCTGACTGATATCCTTATAAAAAGAGGAAATTTGGACACATGGAGAGAACACTGTGTGAAGATGAAGGCAGAGACCAGGTGATGCAGAAGCCAAGGAATGCTGAAGATTGCTAGCAAGCCACCAGAAGCCAGGCAAGCGGCACAGCACACATTCTCTTTCAGGGCTCTCAGAGGGATACTTAATCTTGGAATTCTAGTCTTCACAACTGTGAAACAATGCATTTCTGTTATTTAAACCTCCCAGTCCATGGTCTTTTATTACGGCAGTTTTTGGAAACGGATAAAGGCACCCATGCCTCTTCCTCCCCTTTCCTCGAATCTCTGCAGTTCTGGGTAAAGATCACAGGGATGAACTTGTGCCTATGATAAAGAAGCTGCCAGATGGCATCAGGTAACTCTGATGCCAGTTAAAAATGAAAATTATCATTTCTTCAAAAGGTTTCTGAAAGTCAATTTATTGGATATTTCAGGTACAAAGAAAAGGCGACAATTTTTGATAGGAGGACCACTTTAATACATTGGAAATTATGCCAAATAAGTTGTTTCATCTACTTTCTTTGAAACCTTTTAACCCAAGAATGTCTTCACTTATTCTAGAGTTTTCTGGGAGTTAACCTTCAGTTGTTTTTCTGCAGAAACCTGATTTATCCTAACTGTATTAGGATTGGCACTTGATTATTCCCATCTAATCATTTGTATGATTTATTTAGTGCCATAATTGTTGAAAGCTGATATTAGAATCTTTAAAGTGGCATATCCTATTCAGCAATGTTTAGTGCTTTATAATAATATTGGGTGCATTATACAGTAATAATGGAGATCACATTTGCAAAACCATTGCAGTAATGGGACGTTCTAAAATGTGAGAAATAGAAAAAGCACACTGGAAGAGCAGAGCATGTTTTATTCACAGCCTTTTGGCTGCCTGTACTCTGAGGTCAGAAAGCAGAGAAGAAGAGCTTATGTGCTCCCCAGGGGGGCACCACACTGGGCTGCATGATACAGACCAACCTATATAATTCTGATTGAAGTGGGGGATTTTCAGTCACTGGAATGAAAAGAGGTGGGGGTGTTGTTGTGTTTGAAAATACTTTTTGCTCTTTGGAATAGATTCAAACTTTATAAATGAAAATTGGATTTTCAAAGAAAGCCTATATTTGCTACGATTTGGCCTAAGAATTTGGTTCCCTTTGAGTTGCTCATAACTTCTGATTGATAGTTTATTTTTAAGATGTTTGGAATAAATATATAAAACATATTCCTTATACATCACTAATAGAGTTTTTAGGTCAATTTAAAGCTGATGAACTTTACTCTGTCCCTTTAATATTTTGATGTATTCCTCACATTCAACATATGCAAACTCACAGAAGACCATGGTGAACACAAATCTGTAAGGAACGTAAGACATTCTTGGCTATGTGAATTGACACAAAAAATGCTGGCTTTGAGTTTTGGATATTTTCTGTACCAATTGGAAAATTTTATAAAATTTTGATTAAATATTTCCTTTGGCAGCTTAATTCCCCTTAATCTTGGAGTTTTCTGTTTAAAACTGTCAAGATTAAACAAAGCTATGAACATGCTAGGACAGCAGAGATGGAAGAAAGAGTTAATTTCTTTATTAATAATGTTTTATTTATTTATTTATTTTCATTTTGTAGAGATGAGGTCTCACTATGTTGTCCAGGCTTGTCTTGAACTCCTGGGCTCAAGTGATCCACCTGCTGGGATTACAGGCATGAGCCACTACACCTGGGTAAATTTCACTGTGTCTGATTCACAAGAATTATTTTAGCCTGGTGTGTGTTCATATGCAACCTGTCTTTGCTCAGTTTCTCTCATGAAAGAAGGTTTTGTTTTGTTTTAACTTTTTCTCTTTCAGTTTGGAACTACTGAACTGACAAGCTGCTTTATAGACACTCAGTCTTTCCTAAGGCGCTCAGTATTCTTGGGATATTACCATCAGTTTTTCCTTGGTGGACTAGGATGTACAATCCAAGGCAAGAATGTGAAACCATGTCCCACAGAGTCTCAGGCATCAGGAGAAAGCCCATTTTCTTGTAGCTGTTATATATAAATTCTGTGTACCTTCTCTTCCATTCAACTCTGAAATCACCCAAGAAATGTGTGTTAGGCTGTTCTTGTGTTACTATAAATAAATATCTAATCCTGGGTAATTTATAAAGCAAAGAGGCTTACTTGGCTCATGGTTCGGCAGGCTGTACAGGAATCATGGTGCTGGTATCTGCTCCTGGCAAGGCCTCAGGGAGCTTACAATCATGGTAGAAGGCAAAGAGGCGCCAGCCTATCAGATGGCAAGAGAGAGAAAAATAGAGAGGGCAGAGGTGCCACACTCTTTCTACACAACCAGATCTTATGTGAACTCAGAGCTAGAACTCGCTGTCTCCAGGACAGCACCAAACCATTCATGAGGGACTCACCCCCATGACCCAAACACCTCCCACCAGACCCACTTCCAACATTGGAAATCATATTTCAGAATGGTATTTGGAGAGGACAGTCATCCAAACTAGATCAGAATGTTTCTGTGCACAGGGAGCCTCACATTTGAGCCTCATATGAGAAATGTATCAAACAAACATTCAATGAGAGGGGAGAGAATGGGCAGCCTCCATCTTGGTGTTTATTTGTTTTTTCTAAACAAGCAAAGGTATTGTCACTTTCCTGGGGCAGGATATTTCATGACTTCAGTCAGCAGCTTCCTGAAGGGCTGCTTAAGGTTCTGCTGTCCCCTCTTGGGGCTACAGCCTTTGCTCTTTTGCAATGATTTCCTCCTGCCCCATGATTCCAGTTTATGTCTGAATGCTGTCAGCTTTCCTCCGTGTGGTAAAATTATCCCCCTTGAGAAGTGCTCTGCAAATGTAAGGTGGCAATATTGATAATAACACTTTACTCACTGACCCATATTTGCTCTCCAGATAGCACCTTCTTTTCCAAACCCCAAACCTCTCTGGGACTCTGAGTTACCCATTTTTTCTCTTGGGTATGTTGGAAGAGGCAACATTATATAGGGGTTAAGAATGCAGGCTACGTAGACAGACTCCGTTCAGGGTTCACCATTGCCTCTCTAGCCATGTGAGTGGCGATGGGTTTCTCAATGAGTCTGGTTTCCTGAACTTTTATTAGGGATACTCAGACTCACCCTTACAGCATCGTTGAGAGAATTAAATGGAGATTGTAAGGGGAAGCCCTTAGCCCAGGCACATATAACTACTTGGTAAAGATGAACTTTCATTGATTTCTGAAGGTGTTTAGGGTTCTGGTGTTCTAATGGATTTTTCACACAGGCAGAAAAAGGGAGCCGATTCTCATAACTTCATTAATTGCAAAATATTGATCTTCCAATCCTCTTCTTTTATTCTGCCTCACTTGAATGTGAACTTGTGTTCACTAGAGGATAGTGTTGCTGCTTCTTTTTGTTTTAGAACACTATACTGGTATGTACATTTTAAAGAAATCATAGAATAATATATATATGCATTTTTTCTTTATAGTCCAATATTCAGATACTCAAAAACTTCTTCCTTGGTGTCCAGTCTTGATGAATTTGGGGTGGGAGGATGAGGCTTGCAAGATAGTCCCTGCAAAGAGTGGCCCTCTGTCACTTCCTTTCCATACACACCTACTGTCAGGACTTGGCTGAGTTTCCTGGAGTGGCAGATAGTTTATGGGGTGCACAGAGGTCTGTGATACACTCACTCTACCTTCTCCTATCCAATCCCATTGTGCAGAAAGCAAGAGGGTCTGTTGTGATTTTTGCCTGACGTTTCATCATTTGTATATTAACATATATTAACATAATAGGCTCACACCTGTAGTCCCAGCCACTCAAGAGGCAGAGGCAGGAGGATTGCTTGAACCCAGAATTTTATACTAGCCTAGGCAACATATGGAGACCCCCATCTCTTAAAAACTAGAAGAAAACCCAAAAACTCCCAAACGTTTAATATGGAATGAGGTTAGAAATTCATGTCATAAATGGCCACTTGAAAACCACCCTCAACTCCAAAATTTTTAAAATTCTGCTTCCTTCAGAGGTAGTTATAATGTAAAACTCCTGATATCAAGATGGTTTTACTAAATCTGCTAATCTCATTTGATTGCTTTGTTACAGATTGATGTTCTCAAGGCAGATCTGGAAAGTGCAGAATGGAAAGTTCTGGAAAATCTTATTCTGGAAGATGTTCTTGAGCAGATTGGACAGCTCATCTTTGAGATCCATCTCCACTGGCCTGGGTTTGAGGTCAGTGGCAGCGACAGCAGCGTCGTGCGGTTCTGGTACAGCCTTCTCAAAGAGTTAGAACAAAAGGATTTCAGGCTTTTTTATAGTTACAAAGATTTATCTAAACCTCAGCTATTCCTGAAGAAAGACATTTTCAATGCAAGTAGCTGTTATACTCTGAGTTGGGTGAACACAAGATGGAAATAGGATGCAGGATGTCATCAAGATCGCAAGAAAATATTTGCAGAATGGAGCATGTCCACGATTCTAATCGTGAGTGTACTCGTCCAGTCTCCTGCTAGCCCATGCCCTGCTTGAGGCAGGGAGTATGTTATTATCTTTGCAGTACATGAAGCCTGGTGCTTGGCATGTGTTAGGGTACAGCTGATACTTGCCAAAGAAATGAACACAGTCACCCCCATTTGCCCAGACTCTTCCTTCACTTTAACTTGGAAGATGATCCCCCACTCATGTCAGTTTTTCCTAAAATTCTCTATGTATCTATAATCTATGAATTCACCAACATTGAAATGAAATTATATAAATTTCCTGTTTTTACTAGGTTGGTGAGATTTTTAAGTTTTTTGCCTACTGTTTAAAATAGGGCTTTAAATTTGAATTTGACTGTCCTTTTTCAAAGTTTTTCTTATTTACCTTGTCAATGATATTCTTTACAATCTCATAGATTTCAGTCATACCTTCTCAGCCTTTGCTGAGGCCATGGTGTGGCTTTGTAAGTAGCAATACTTCTGATTTCTGGGAACTCAAAGCATCAAATTCTGTCACTGAGTTAAAGAGACTAGACTATTAAGAGCTTCAACTCGAAGGTGTAAATTCCAGTTTGAGACAAAGTCTCAAGGCAGGAGACCCATCTCCCAGCTTGAAGACAGCCAGACAGAGAATGAATTCTTCCTTTCTCTGCCCTAGGTTCTATTCAGGCCTTCAACCAGTTGAAGGTCCACTCATTGAGGCGAAGAATCTGCTTTATTCAGTCTACTGATTTAAATATTAATCTCATCCAGAAATATCCTCACAGATATACCTAGAATAATGTTTAATTAAAGATCTGGACACCCTTTAGTCCAGGTAAGTTGACACATGAAATTAACCATTATAGGTATGTAGATAGATAGATAGTTTGATAGATAGATAGATAGATAGATTTTCCTACTGGCATGTTTCACCATTTTCTTGACTCACATATTCTTTTTCCCATCTTGATCCTTCAGTCTGTGCTTTCCTAGCTGAAGTAAGGCCTTTAATGATTACTTTATTATGAGTTCATAGGTGATATGGTTTGGCTATGTCCCCAACCAAATTTCATCTTGAACTGTAGTTCCCATAATCCCCACGTGTTGTGGGAGGGATTCTGTGGGAGGTAATTGAATCATGGGGTGGTTTCCCCCATGCTATTCTCATGATACTGAGTAAGTTCTCATGAGATCTGATGGTTTTATAAGGGGCATCCCCCTTCGCTTGGCTCTCATTCTGCTCCTTCCTGCTGCTATGTGAAGAAGAATGTGTTTGCTTCCCCTTCCACCATGACTGTAAGTTTCCTGAGGCCTCCTCAGCCATGCTAAACTGTGAGTCAATTACATCTCTTTCCTTTATAAATTACTCAGTCTCAGGTATATCTTCATAGCAGTGTGAGAATGGACTAATACAATGGGTATTATGCTTTTTAGATTTTACGTATATGAAAAAGCACTTGCTTTTCATACCTGAATAAAATTTATTTGTGCACAGAAAAAAAAGAACTTCAACTCAAGATGCTTTTCATACTCAACCTTAATTCCCCTTCACTTCCTATTAAACTAAGCACAGAGCAGAATCTGGGTGTCTTTGCTGTTGCCTCTTCTGTCTTCAAGCATGATTTTCCACCCACAGACTTGCCTATGCTGTCAAATCGTTTTTTAAAAATACATTATCTCTAATAATGTTAAGTGCATTTTTCTTTACTTCCAGTTGGCATCACTTACACAATTGTGGTCTGAGGACCTCATCTCACTTTCCTAGGTTAGTTAGTTTTTCAATAGCACTAAGCCTTTCTACATTAAAAATTAAGTGGAAAGTTTAGGTTCTCGGTGGTTCAAATGCTTTCTCTCATTACTAGTTACAGGATTAAACACGTGCATAATTTTCTAAAATCCTATTTCAAATAAATAGCATAAAAACCAAATTATTACCTTATTGTCAATTAAATATATTTTTGGCATTTTTATAACCTGAGAGAGTATCAAACTGTATGTACAGTGTTCAAAAATTGGGGGAGGCAGAATACTGATTATTACTAGACTTTACCCCTTTATCTAATTTTGTACTTCCTTCTATCCTCGACATTCCCCAGGTTGGCTCCTTGTTCCTTGAAGTGGTTTGAAAATGCCATTCCTCAACTGAGAAATCAAATTATGTTAGACTAGGATGACCTTACTAGCTTGAGTTGAAAAGAGAACAGGACTTTCTGAGTTAGTTGTGATAACTTAAAAAATATATAGACCTTTATTTTAAGATTCATAGTCCACTGATAAAAGTTGTTGAGCTGAGAGGACCGGCTTGAGTAAGTGTGATCTGAAAAGGCAGTTAGTCATTTCAGTGTACAGAGGTATTTCAAATGTGCAGAAGGGTCCACACACACTCTAAATTTGTTTGTACTGTTAGTTTATATGGTGTTGTCTCCAAAGCAAAGCTAACTTTACCCCAATTCTGTTTAGATTATATAACAGATTTATTTTCATAAAATTTTTGTATGCTGAAATATATAAACATTTTTATATATTAAAGCGTAGAAAGTGTACTCATCTTAAATGTCCAGTCTGATCAGCTTTTAGATATGTAACACCCCCATATTAAGATTTTTAATTCATGGAATTGGAGATTTAGGGCATTACCGAAAGCCCCCTTTGTCTACAGCAAGTTAACCATTTATTTCAGGTTGGTGGTGTCACACATGGACTTCATCACGCTATCTATATCTGAAGTAAGAATGAATGTACTGTTAAAAAAGAATAAATAACAAACGTACCCACCCACACTCACTGACAGGCAGCCTGTTTAATAGTTATTGATACTTATTTTATGCTTATGTCTAAAATGGTCCTTCATTGCCTTCATGGATAGCTTGAAATCTATGATGAATATTCTGACAGTTGTTAAGGTTTCCCTGCCTCTAGAATTTATTACGTTTATCATGTAGGCCAGGGTTTCTTAACCTCAGCACCAGTGCCATTTGGGCTGGCTAATTCTTTATTGGGGGAGGGCTGTTCTGGGCATTGTAGGATATGTCCCTGTGGGGGCAAAATCACCCACTGCCGGTGCAGGCCATGAGAAAGGGACCAGGCTACTGTAGCACTGTTTGCTTGTGAACAGGCAAACACAAGATCCTCTTATGAGGAACAGGCAAAACCGTAATCATCACCACCGCAACCACCACAAGAGCAACACAAACAACACACAAGGAAACAAAGTCAAAAGTAACTCTGTACTAAGAGCTTACTGTCTGTCAGACCATGTGCATAGCTTATTCCTAATTCCCCCAACAAGGAAGTACATTTTTTCCCCCAATACTGTGGGTAAAGAAACTCTGAGAGGGGTCGGGCGTGGTGGCTCACGCCTGTGATCCCAGCGCTTTGGGAGGCTGAAGTGGGCAGATCACAAGGTCAGGAGATCAAGACCATCCTGTCTAACATGGTGAAAACCTGTCTCTACTAACAATGCTAAAAAATATTAGCTGGGCAGGGTGGCACGCACCCGAAATCCCAGCCACTTGGGAGGCTGAGGCAGGAGAATTGCTTGAATCTGGGAGGCAGAGGTTGCAGTGAGCCGAGATTGTGCCACTGCACTCCAGCCTGGGCAACAGAGTGAGACTCTGTCTCAAATAAAAAAAGAGAAACTTTGAGAGGTTAAATGGCTTATTCAGATTACTCAAGTTGTAGATGGAGGAACAATCATTTACATTTCTGTCTGTCAGATCCCAAAAAGTCTGTGTTTGGTCCCATCCACAATGCTGCTTCCACAGCCTGTACCAAACATCAGATGCTTTGTCCAAAAGACACATTTTTGCCTCCCTATTAGTAAAAGGTGGGAGAAAAAACTACAAATAGTAAAGACCTGCAAGTTTGAGGCAGAATCATTTTGTAGCATTCAGGTTTGCTGAACTTAAATCATCTACTTGATATGCCTGCCAGATGGAAGCTCACTGAAGAAATATGGAGACAACAACTTCCCTATCAATATATTTAGGCTGCCAGGAAAGCTCTTGCAGGCCTGGAAGTGACTCTTCTTCTGGCTTGTCCCAATACTTGTCACTTTCTGCCTGGGTTTTAGAAATGGCAGTCACTTGGAGTTGCTTAAGCAAAGTAATTATTTTTTGCTTAAAACTAGTCTTTGACTTGCAGATAAATGAGCTAAGATGTGAATCTCTGTGACATGCATCTCCTTAATTTTTACTAGAGCAGTGTTCATAAGTGATTCTGAAAATACACATTTGATAATGCTCTTATCAAATGAGTAACAATGCTCTTTTGTAGGTGTAAGATATATGAGGATGGAAGAGATTCACAAGTTGCCTTTTAGCATAAACTCTGTGTCATAATTTGTCAAAGAAAAATAATTTTCACCTTCCTTATTTCTTACAGTGCTTGTATTGATGCAGTTATAATATAAAAGGTTATCATATAAATATTTGTAACTACTTGACATGTTCAACTGAAGAGCTAGGGAGAAGTGAACAAATTTCTACTAGAATTGACTGAAGGTCCAAATTTACCTCAGGATAAGGCATAAACAAACTCATGGGTTTACAGTATTTAGTCCAAATCAGTTATTCATGTGAGCATTTCTGCCTTGGTTATACGATCTTTTAGTAAGTATAAGAATTGCATTTCTTAAGTATTAAATGTTTGGATTCTGCAAAGCTTGGATTAGTCCCAGGAAGCCATGCTTATCATATTTTGCCAGTGTAAAAATGATGACCTCATTTAAATAGATCATTCTACTTAACAATACAACAGTAACTCCAAGCTCAATTAGTGTAATTGTTCTTTTCTGGTGGAGATAAATTTATGTTTGATTCTTAAGCAGTAACGTAATTCTTTTTGAACTAGCCAATTGCAGATACTTTGTGGATTCAATAATACATTTAACCTTATGTTAAAATGTCTTACTTTTTCTTACATTGAAAGAGGTACTTGAACTTATCAGATAAAACTGTAACCCAAAGATTTAATATATTCCTAAAACTGCTTACATTTAGAGATTATTGAAATTCTTTAAATGATTTGATGGCATTTCTTAAGAAATATAAATCAAGCATTCTTAATGTCACACTTTATAACTGTATGGAGGCGGGGTGCAGTGGCATATGCCTGTACTTCCAGCTATGTGGGAGGACCATGGGAGTACAGGAGTTTGAGACCTGCCTGGGGACCATAGTGAGACTCCATCTTAAAAAAAAAAAAAAAAAAGAACTATGTGGAAAAATGGTTCTCAACACATTAAATTTAATGCTTTCTTAAAACCAGCAACGTCTTGTTTTTCTCAGATAGACTATTTTACCTATTTCTTAGTGATTAGTTTTGTACAATATGGCTATCTGAAATAATAAGGGATTTAAATTTGGGGGATCCAATTTGACTAAATTATTCAACACTAGACTGGAGAATTTCAGTACAGAAACCAAATGTGCAGAGGACTGATATCTAATCAGTATGTACCAGTAGAGAAGAGCTATTGTGCAACATGGTGATTAGAGTTAATAGCAATGTATCATATATTGGAAAATTGCCGAGAGTAGATTTAAAATATTCTCACCACAGAAAATAAGTATTTGAGGTAATAGATGTGTCAATTAGTTGACTTAGTATTCCACAATTATACATATAACAAAATAGCACGTGTGTGCCATACATATATACAATTTATTTGTCAACTAAAAAAAAAGTATGTCCTTTGGAATATATTGGACATATTTATACTTTTTAAAGAAAGTACCAGTAGAGATATAGTGGTTCCCCAATGGTCCCGCTCCACTGGAGACACTCTCACAGGATGCCTAGGCCTTTCTGCATGACTGGGCAATTAAAGGCTAACGCACAGCACAAAAGGCAGCTTCTGGGATCCTGACCCAGCACTGTGGCTTGCTTCTGTTCTAACTAACTGGCCTGTCTTCTGCCTTATTTGCCGTTGGATATTTTGAGTATCACTCCTGGGTGGATCTATAAAATAAAGGTCCAACTGTGTTCTATAACATAATTGAATGAGACAGTTCAATTATGTACCAATAAAAATAATCAATTATCTGTACAAGAAAATATTATTTCTCAAGGTTTAATGTCAGATCAAACATAATTTTCTCAGGGACCCCTCTTATTTAAGGCTCCTTGCTATGTGTCCCCACAACGTCCTCTATTCCTATCTTAACACTCTCTGTACTTTCTCTGTTTGTATAATGTATGGTTTTCCCAAAAGACTGTACACTCCATGAGGGCAAGGGCTGCATCTGTGGCCCCAGTGCCTAGCATGAAACCTGCTAGGTAAAAAGGGCTCAATAAATTTCTGTTGAATATAAATTTAAAAAGCTATTTCCATATAATTTTTTCTGTAAAATTATTTCATTTGTTATTGAAGTTTTTTTCTGGCATTAAAAATAGCTTTGAAATTTAGATGGACTACTGTCTCTCATTTTGTTATTTAAATTTGGACACAATTTGTTATTTTCTTGACATGGCTGTTCATTGCACTGCATGTGATAGTCCCTATTCCCAGTTAAAGGATGCCAACCTGGAGATCTTCTTGGCCTTGGGGAACTGAGAACCATATAATAATTTAATTGAATGAATACAATAATAATTGAAGATTCAATTATTACTAGAAGCTATCTGAGTCCTAGGATATTAAACTTCAATCTTTCTCATTGTCCTTTCTTTGTAGCAACTCCCAGCAGTCTTTTTTAGAGTCAGTATATGGAAACACAATTCACAGTAGCATGGAAAATATTTTTCAGTTAATAGAAGAAGGAAGGTAGGATGATGTGAGACTATTTCTACCAATGATAGGGGTTAGCATTTTTACAAAAATGATTCAAGCCATAGTTTTTATAGGATATGGAGTATAAAGTGCATAATAAAGACAACAGTTGAAAGAGTAAAATCAAGGTGAGAAAAGGTATTGTAGAGACTGAAATATGAGCCAGAGATTTCCTTGTGGGCACAGAGAAAGTGAGGGGGCTCAACTCTAATGGAAGGAGCCATAAGGATGAAATAAACAGTATGTAAATAGCTGTTTCTTTTAAATTAACTCGCTCAGAGACAGCAAGCCTAGAAGCCACAAAAGTTATAACACTGATCCAACAGTTTTAAAAATATACAATTAAGTGGCATTATATAGAGGCAGGACAGTAGAATGAAATAAATAAGGGACTCTTGATACTGCTGCGAACTAGCTGTGTTATATAAAGCAAGTCATCACCTTTCTTTAACTATTTTCTTAGGTTAGAATATTTAATTTCTGAAGTTTCTTCTTGCTTGCAAATTTCATTATTTTGACTACTGTGATTACATGAGGCTTAGGCAATGAGAATTTCTTAATTTGTATGCTGCTATGGTCTGAATATTTTGTGACCCTCCAAAATTCATACATTTAAATATTCCCAATGTGTTGGTATTATGCGGTGGGACCTTTAGAAATTAACTAGGTCATGAGGGCAGAGCCCTTGTGAATAGGATTAGGGCATTTATGAAAGGCCTGAGGAAACTTTTTTCCCCCTTTTGCAATGTGAGGACATGTGAAAAGGCACCATCTTTGAAGCAGAGAGCTAGCCCTCATCAGACACTGAATCCGCTGGCACCTCAATCTTGGACTTCTCAGCCACCAGAACTGTGAGCAATACATTTCTGTTGCTTATAAATTACGTGGTCTAAGGTGTCTTGTTATAGCAACCTGAATGGATTAAGACAAGTGCTATAAAGGGAAGTCTTCTGATAAATTCAGAAGAATGCAAATGATGTGCTTATGCAGAAAAAGCCCAGATAAAGGGTGAATCCATTATGATGGTTCTCTGGTCATCAATATGAAGTACCCTTAGAAAAGTACCCTTTTGTATCACACACTTAAACTCACATGGTTCTAAAAATCAGAATGTTATGTTTTTTAGACTGTACTAGATTACATTCCTGCTTTTAGACTGTTCCAATAACATGGAAACATCTAAAGATACAAAATACAATTATACATAAATCCCCAAATATCCTTCCACATGTGTATATATGTGTATACACATGCATGTGTATATGTGTGTATACATGTGAGTATGCATGTGTGTATATGGTATGTATGTGTGTGTAGACTGAATATCTGAGAAGAAAGTCTTCCAGATACAAAAAGCCCAGAGGGAAGGAGCCTAGAGCCAGACAGGTAGACAGGAACCTACACTGCAGTAGCCTTTGGAGTTTAGTATAACCAGTAATGGAGAGAAGCCTAGAGCACAAGATAAGACCTGGTCCTGGGGAGAAAGGATTGGGACTGAGGACACCTACAGCAAACAGGGACTGTTACAGGGCTACAGCCTCAGTCAAGAAGGGACCTAAAAATTCTACATCCATCAGCACAAGGACATTTATCTCTGCTTATAGCTCTGAGTACAAAGAAAAGTTTTCATGAGAAATTGAAACCTCAGGCCTGTGCAAGGAGTTGACTACTTGAATTTATCCTAATCACATGCTGAGAAAAACCATAAGCTGAGAAATTAAGAAAAAAAACTGGTCCTACCCAGAACTATAAAAACCGTATAAGAAAACCTAGCAATATCATTCAGGACACGGCAAGGGCAAGTATTTCATGACGAAGATGCCAAAAGCAACTGCAATAAAAGCAAAAATTGACAAATGGAATCCAATTAAACTAAAGAGCTTCTGCACAGCAAAAGAAACTATCATCAGAGTGAACATACAACCTACAGAAAGGGATAAATGTTTGCAATATATGCATCTGACAAAGGTCTAATATCCAGCATCTATAAGGAACTTAAATTTACAAGAAAAAAATCCATTGAAAATTGGGCAAAGGACAAGAATAGACACTTCTCAAAAGAAGATATACATGTGGCCAACAAAAATGAAAAAAGCGCAACATCACTGATCATTACAGAAATGCAAATCAAAACCACAATGAGATACCATCTCACACCTGTCAAAATGGCTATTATTAATAAGTCAAAAACAAAAATGTAAATTAGTTCAACCAATATGGAAGACAGTGTGGCAATTCCTCAAAGATCTACAGGCAGAAATACCATTCAACCCAGCAATCCCATTACTGGGTATATACCCAAAGAAATATAAATAGTTCTATTATAAAGACACATGCACATGTATGTTCATTGCAGTACTATTCACAACAGCAAAGACATGGAATCAAGCTAAATGCCCATCAATGATGGATTAAGACAAAGTAGTACATATACATATGGAATACTATACAGCCATAAAAAGTAATCAGATCATGTCCTCTGCAGGAACATGGAAAGAGTTGGAGGCCATTATCCTTAGCAAACTAACACAGGAATAGAAAACCAAACACCATATGTTCTCACTTCTAAGTGGAAGCTAAATGATGAGAATATATGGACGCATGTGGGAACAACATGTGCTGGGGCCTACTGGAGGGTGGGAGGTGAGAGGAGGGAGAGGATCAGGAAGAATAATGGATGCTGGGCTTAATACCTGGGTAAGGGGATGATCTTTGCAGCAAACCACCATGGCACACATTTATCTATGTAACAAACCTGAACATCCTGTACATGTCCCCTTGAACTTAAAAGTTGGATATTAAACAGGTTCTAGGGGTGATACCTCAGGTGTATACGACAGAAGCAGATGCAAAACACTCTGAAAGGACTTTTCACCAATCCAGGCTACAGAGGATTTCCTTAGAAAAACAAGACCCATATTAAATATTATAACTGACAAGGAAATAAACAGTCTCCCATGAGGTAGCCAGACACAATAAACCACGTGATTTTCAGCCCAAGAACTGGAGATAACAGAACAATCTTAAAGTATAATATACATGATTTATCATAATTAAAGGCACAAAGGACTATATAGGAGCCATAAGAAAATACGACATTGTGAAAAAGAACAGGTAAATATAAAAAAAGTACAAATAAACCTTCCAGAAAAGAGAAACAGCCACGGAAACAAGAAGTTTAATGGAACAGCAGCACAAATAAACCTTCCAGAAAAGATTAACAGCCACAGAAACAAGAAGTTTAATGGAAGAGCAGCACACTGGACACAGCTAAAGAGACTTTACAATGAACTGGAAGACAAACCTGAGGAAATTATCCAAAATGTAGCACAGAAAAAAAATGAGCATTTGTATTTTTTACGCGATATTTTATGATCAGATTGAACCTTAGAATGTTTGTCAGAAGACGAGGCAGTACATTGAATATCTGAGCCACTCTTATGTAAAAAGTAGTACTAGTATTGTACTGTGCAACATGGTAGCCTATAGACATGTTGCTACTGAGCACCTAAACTGTAGTTAACTGATACACTAAATTTTAAATTAAACTAACTTTTAATTAATGTAAATTAAAAATTGTATACAGGCACATACCACATAATAACCTTTCAGTCAGTGACAGACTACATATATGATGGTGGTCCCTTGAGACTATAATGGAACTATATAATAGAGTAGGCTATACCATCTACATTTGTTATATACACAAACATAGTAGAGTTACATATGTAAATTATATATATAATTTAGCTGGTCAAAAATACATACTGTACACACGTGTATGTACATGTATATGTGTATATAATGTATGCACACAGCATATATGTACATATTCATAGTCACCTTAATAATTGTGGAAACAAATTTCTCAACTTAATTGCAATTTTATCTGGAACTTAAAAGAAGTCACAGACTTGCAGCCAGAGCCCTCAGAGTGACTTTTTAGTGACAGTAAGTGAAAGTGAAACTCTTGATTCTACAGCTTCTTATATCTGCAATAGCTGTCTTCACATGAGTTTCTTTTATTTGATTCCCCACTCTCCAGCCTCCAGTGTTTTAGATCTGGGGGAGCAACTCAGATCTCCACTTTTTATTTGTTCTAATACAGTAGAACATTGTAGAGTTACATATGTAACTCAATGATGTTTGCACAACAATGACATTGCCTAATGACACAGTTCTTAGAAAAAAGTAAAATATTAATTTTTTAAACAATTGAGTACATCTTAAGATAAAATTTTGGATACGTTAAGTAAAATATATTATTAAGTCCCTTTTTAACTCTGGCTATTAGAAAATTTAAAATCACATATATGACTGACATGTATCTATTGGACAGACTGATTAGAACAAATAAAAAGTGGAGATCTGAGTTGCTCCCCCAGATCTAAAACACTGGAGGCTGGAGAGTGGGGAATCGAATAAAAGAAACTTATCTGAAGACAGCTATTGCAGATATAAGAAGCTGTAGAATCAAGAGTTTCACTTTCACTTACTGTCACTAAAAATAAAGTCACTCTAAGGGCTCTGGCTGCAAGTCGGTGACTTCTTTTAAGTTTCAGATAAAATTGCATTAAGTTGAGAAAGTTGTTTCCACAATTATTAAGGTGACTATTGAATATGGAATGTGTACATA